GGTGGGTGGGTGGGTGGTTGTTGGAGATTCTTGCCATACATTTAATTTTGTACTTCGGCGCCACTGGTATCTACATTCTACATACTTATATTATACATGCTCACCCTGTAACGTTTATACTCCGAGTGTAACTAGCTTTGCCGACTAGTCTACCATCTTCCGTGAGTCGAATCCTAATATTATCGTTGTCGTCAGCAATAGCGTAAAATATCTGGGGCTGGTTATCGCCCGAACTCCGCATTGGCAGCATCAAGATGATCGCAGATGACACTAAAATCACGACAATTGCGATTTTTTTGGCAGACATAATAATTAATGGACGATGATTGTACGGTTATATTGTAAGACATAAGTATAAGGCTTGTACAACAAATGCGATCGATGATCAACCAATATAGTTCTGCTGCTGAAGCTAAAGATATAATACGAGTATATAATCTGTTTAAATAATATAAATACGACATATTAAAAGTACCATTGTACTCATATATTTGTACAAATATTTTGCAATGTCCACGTCGTTCCCCCGACTCAATATATTATATTTTTAATGACATAAAAATTACTTCTATTGTGTGTTAAGGTGATTCTTAATTATAAATATATGTGTATGTATTGATCATTAATTTATATTTTATGATACAGGTTCTTTATTGTTTTTACTGTCAATAACAATGCAATAGGTAAATGCTATATAATAATATATAACATTAATATATTGTTATTGTAATTGTAACATTTCACAAACATTAATTGTAAGTTGACGCAAATTAAAAAATATATATAATATCAGAAATATTGTAACGTTGTTTCATGTGCCAATTTACGTTATATATTGTATATTATTATGTACCTACCTACTCTTATAAGTTATAAGTTATAATACATTATAATACGCTCTTAAATATATAAAGATTAACCAACGTATTTAACTATAACATATATAGAATACACTTGTACTTTGTACCCAATGTACCCTAATGAGAAATGAGTATCACTAAATGGTATTTAGTCTTTTAAGTATGCCTACCAGTGTTTATAACTTAATTTTCTTTGTTATGTTTAGTATACTTCAATATAATAATAATATTACAGTGTACAAAATAATCTGTTGATATATTTTTATGTAAATATTATTATTATTATTACTTTATACATTAACATTGTTTTAATATCATTGTAATAATAGTTAATAGTTATACACTTATTACTTATACTAACCATAATGTTTTATTTTATCGTGGTAATCATATAATTACAAATATTGTGCAACAATATTTCGTTATATTAAACATATCTATAATGTATTGATATATATGGGCATATGCGTGTATGATATAATGTGTTGTACATACTACCTACATGTAAAATCTAGTGATCTACAATTTAATCATTTAATGTAATAAACACTACAGATAGTGCAAGTGAAACATGATAAAACGATGACTAGCATAATATTGATAATATAAAACCCACAAAATAATAAAGGTCAAATGAATTTTGAAAAGTAAAATATATTGGTGATAAAAACAAAAACGATCCATTCTTAAACTGCACCCGGATTATCAACTGGGTTAAAAACTAAAAAGTTATTATAATACAAAATGCATACCTTATCTTCAGTAAAAAATGTGAAATTCTAAATTCTAAATTAAAAAAAAAAAAAAGCAGGGGTATAAATTGTAGAATTTGGTAAAATAGTATCACCGTTCATGATCAACAATATTATATTACTTATCCTGTATTATCCTGTATACCTAATTGTTTTGTTTTATAATTATTTATTATTAAATATAGGTATATAGGGATATTGAAATATATAATATTATGTAAATTTTATTTATTTTTATTTATATCCTGTATAGTTAAATATTTTATTATAACCATTAACTAAAATTAATTGTATAATTATTTATAACAAGACATGTCCTACGACAGTTCATCACATGTAGTTTAAATTCATTATATTATTTTACCTTAATCGAAAAAGATAATCGAAGATTAAATTAAACGAAAAAATAAATTAATTGTTTTATTAAACATACCTAGTGACTATCATGCATTCAGAGAAATAAAACATTCATTATGCTCATAACTAGAGCAAGGACTTTTATGCATTTGCATATTTTTTCTAGTTAACTTTAATCGTATGCTTGTTAAGTACAAAATACATTTCATAACGTTTATGATGAAATACTCAAAGTTTTTAGTGCATATTTTTGCATATTTGGACATTTTTGGGTTTAAGTGGCATATTTTGTATTATAAAAGCATAATATTTTAAGCTTTTAGTGCATATTTTGATATGGTTTATCGAAAATCACGTCAGTGAACGCCAAAGGAAGTTCTTCGCCATAATATAAGAACCTGCTGACAGATAAAAGACGTTCTCTGCTATTTGAAAATATCAAAGAAATKTTAATAATTCAGTGCAATTCTGATTTAGGTAAGATAAATATTTGAGAATATTCTAACAATTGTTTTAAAATAGCTTTTTTATTTTATTTGGTGCAGAATAATAATTTAGAAGAATGGGATCCATCATTCAAAAAAGATTCCAAATAAATTTTATAAAATAAATAAAATAATTAAAATTTATATACATATATCTATATGTATAGAATAATAATAAAATTAATTTTTTTAAGGCCATATTTTTAATTTTTTGATGCATAAGTGTATATTTTTAAATGCATATTTGATGATTTTTTTAGCCCATATAAATCCTTGCTCTACTCATAACTTATAAGTATTTTGTAACCTACCAGAACTTATTTTGAAATCTTTCAAAGAGCTTAGAGAGTTACCTATCTAACAAATTATAGCCTACGCTAACGATGCCGTTTGTGGAAATATTGATTTTAGGGTTTAGGTTGAAAAATATTCATATTGTGGTATTTTATTACACTGCATATTATATTTCAACAACCAGAATACATATAATTTATTTTATTAAATTTTTTTAGTGGATTTTAGATTTTCCTTATATAGGTAACATATTTTATTAAGCTTATAATTATAATATAATATATACATTTAGAAAAGTTGGTCGTTCTGTATTTTACCGTATCTAGTATATAATATTATTCCTGTTAACTGAAATAGATTCCCAAACCATAAAATGTACGAACAAAATCGGTGCCGGCGTTATGTTTGGCACTAGAAATCGTTACCAAAAGCCATACCCTAAATCCAGACGGAAATTGATGGGCGCCAGTGCAGTCGTCGATGATCGCCGAGACACTAGACAGCCTACTTGTTGCGGTGGTAACAGAAGTAAGGTCGGCTGACGTAACCGTGAACAGGACAGAGAACGCGGCTTTTAGTGGCGGTGGTTCGCTGCGATTTGACAATGCGGAAAAACATCAATGATTTCCATATACAGTTAACGATAGAACAGCGCCACGGCCATCGGTTGCTAGTCCACATGGCATTGRAGTGACGTCTCGTCATATTCTATATGCGCCAATAAAGAGCATTAAGTTGTTTGTGTCGTCAAAGGCAGAGAGGATGACAACAAGTGGTAACAAATACAGTTCGTCCCGTCGACGAGCTGCCACAATCGGTCCGTCAAGTATAAGCTGATCACTCTACCTGGGTCCACCAAATCGAATTATTTTGCAGAGTGGATAGTCGACGACTCGACGTCCATTCAAGACGTGAACCGTATAGGTGGCAGTGACCTGAAGACATTTGACGTCAATATTTTATTGTTTGTGTTTATTTGTAGACTTATTGTAGTTTAAAAAACCAAAACAGTTTCATAATAAGTATAAGTTGATAAATATTAGAAAAACTGATGGCTGTATTTAAAATATTTAAAATATTTAAAATATTTAAAATATTTCAAAAGTTAAATTTATTTTTAAATTTTTTTATGAATGTCAATAAAAAATATTCGTGGAGTCAAAAAACTTAAAAATGTAACAAGCACAAGGTTCTTATAAGTTGTATTTAAAGTAGATACCTATATACAAAAATATTAAAATAAGGTACATAGGTAATATTAAGTACTATTTTTAAATTTACCAAAACCACGTAAATTTTCAAATTATTTTATTGTCAAAAATGTATAAAATGTTTAATTTTTTAGATAACGTATATGTATATGAAATGAATTTAATACAATCATCGTCCATATATCATATGTAATATGAAAGATTAACTATGAATATATATGTATACTCACATAATATCATGTATGCCTTCTATTTCATATTACACATGAACAACGATTGTATTGATTTTAGTTATTTTACAATGTTGTGTGTGTTTACTGTTTTGTATTGTTTGTGTTTTGAATACTCATTAGTAATGACATTACACTATTATGGATGCGGATTGTTTAAAAATCTGTAAGGCGACACAACTGATTCTATTGTTATCCAAAACGTCGTTACAGCGTTACATGGATACCTAACCGTAGCATAACGTGTGCCATGTACATTTGAAATGTTAAACCACAGAATAGATACAATGGTTAAATTATGTCTAACAACACGGTAATGTGGTTAATCGTGTGGTAACCTAACCCAACCAACCAATCACAACAAAGAATTTGCCATAGACTTATAAAATAGTTCTATGGGATTTGCGCGATGAACGAGTGTAGAGGAAACCCGCCTTTATTTATCATTCAGAATTATATTATGTGAGTTGTGAGTAAACACCATCGTTAAGCTTTCGTTAATTTATGAGTATGTTAATAACATTGCTAAATGAAAATCGTAATGACATACCATCTACCTATATGTATATAGTTCCTATGAATAATGCATGTCCACATTTTAGAGTAGAAAGCTTTAAGCATCAACTCTAAAGATGGTTTATCGTTTATCCAAAAATGTATCCAAAAAAAACATTGGATTTAGTTAGTACTTTTGTTATGGTGAAAGAGAAAATTACTAGCAGCTTAAAAAAAACAAATCGAGTAAGTCGTGGATGTCGCTCTGCTGTACAATAGGTTACGAGTGTGGGTTACTGTAATAGTGTAATGGATGGAATTAAATTTGAATCCAATGATATTATATCATTGTATACAAAAAACGATTTTGAGCGGAAACGGTTTATCTGTCTAGGATATATTATAGATTATTAAAAAATTTAAAATCTTAGATTTAAAAAGAAAATTTTTTATGAATTTTCTAGCTTAAAATAGTTTGCGAATTTTCGTGATTTTTACGTATGTTGTCAAAATTAAAATTTGAATGCTTGTAAAAAAAAMTTGTGACTACATTTCTTTTATTTTTCAACTGCTATTGTAAAAATATATTAGGATCCTTGTATTAGATTTTCAAATCTTAGATC